CAGGCATGTGCTACTATGCCCGGCTAATTTTTTTATTTATTGTAGAGATGAGGTCTCACTGCCCAGGTGGATCTCGAACCCGCGGGCTCAGGCAATCCACTTACCTCAGCCTCCCAAAGGCGCGGGATTACAGGCTGAGCCACCGAGCCCAGCTGTAATAAAGTATTTTTAACTAAGGTATGTACATTGGGGTTTTTAAAAAGGCATATACTATCATATACTTAATAAACTCCAGTATCATGTAAATGTAACTTGCATTATTTTTTTCTTGAGTCAGGGTCTTTCACTCTGTCACCCAGGCTGGAGTACAGTGGCTCGATTATGGCTTATTGCTTCCTCCACCTCCTGGGCTCAGGCAATCCTTTCCAGCCCAGCCTCTGAAGTAGCTGGGACTACCGGCATGCACCACCACACCTGGCTAATTTATTTATTTTTTTTTGTAGAGCCAAGGTCTTACTATGTAACCCAGGCTGGTCTTGAATTCCTGGACTCCAGCAATCCTCCTGCTTTGGCTTCCCAAAGTGATTGGACTACAGGTGTAAGCCACTGTGCCCAGCTTAAACGTAACTTTTACGGGGGGGAGACACCCCCCCAAAACAGAATCTTTTGGAGAGCAGGCCCCTTTTAGTGTACTTGCAATCTGTTCCTCTGGATCAAGCAGCCAACCAAAGTTTTCAACTGAAGTTTTGAAAAAGGTTGTGTCATGATTTGCACCAATGTTGTGACGGATTCTTCCACGAAGACAAAGCACCTGCTCACATCACGCTGAATGCTCAGTTTTTGACCAAAAACGACATGACCCTTTTGCCCCACCCTCCCTATTTACCTGATCTCATCCCAAGCGACTTTTTTGTTTGTTTGTTTCTTAGATTTTAAAAGTCCTCAAAGAGAAACATTTTGCCAACGTGGAAAAGGTGAAACAAAAAACAGCAGAAGCACTAAAAGGCACCAAAATTGACGAGTTCAAAAACTGTTTTCAGCAGTGGAAAAAGTGTCTCAAAAGGTTTACTGCATCAAATGTACTTTGAAGGTACCTGAAGTTTAAACTTGTAAGAATACACAATTTTTTTTTTTTTTTCTTGAGTTGGAGTCTCCCTCTGTCGCCCAGACTGGAGTGCAGTGGCCGCTCCCGGCCACCGCA